CGTTTGTCATTGTCACCCTGTGCGTCCACGCGCACTGTGAGACCTCATAGTAATGTTTGTGAACACGGGCGTTTGCATGGTAGGAATTTAAACTTCGAGAATTAAAAAAAATACTATGGGTACGGAACCCCATGACCAAGTCACCTCTCCATGGTGAAGTCCATTCCCTCGCCCTTGGGCGTTATTAAACACCTAAACACGATGAATAATGTTATTTTTTTATTTATACACCAACTTTAATAGCTTGTTATGAATTTTCGTCGTTTATTCCAGGTAATTCAGAGAAAGATGGTTTTTAATTATTTTAATGTGTTTGGGGAAATTTATTACGAGAACCTTTAATGGAATTGTGTAAAACTTTTATTTAGCTAGTACCTGCTGTGTTTCTGCCTTCATTTTGAATTGTAAACAATGTAAAAGCACAAATTTAAATAATTGGCCGATGGTCTTAAGCGAGGCTACTACTCCTGTATAGCCAGGATCTACAGCTTGACCGCCAATAACCCAACCAGTGAAGGCCAAGTTTGTCCCGGGGGAAAGTTAAACTGTCATTGGACCCGCAACGAAATTAATCAGAAAGACCGATAGTCTTGACAAATGCGCATCGTCACGTCGCATGTGACGTCACTGTCAAATCTTCATTCATGCCACGCGAGACGGAACGGTGTCCGAATGAATGGCCCGACCGCAGGGGTCGACGACCGGCCATTGTGACGTCATCACTTCCGATCTGCGCATTGGCAGGTGATGGTGCGACCGAGGAAAAGGGAAAAGAGTTGGGAACTTCGCTAATGTGCAGTAACAGTAACTGACAGGAAAACCCCAAGAATAAGCTAGTTGCCTAAAAAAATTTTTTTAGTCCGTAATGTTTAATATCAAAAAATATTGGACACGTATATTTTTATTTGTCAATCTAACAAATAATTACATAGTTATGGTGCGTTGAAGTTGCGCACGACGTCACAACGTGCGGCATTTTTAAGCAAGCGTTGACGTCACGGGCCTCTTCTTATGAACTTTGGGGCGCTTTATCCCTTAAATTTTTCATTAGTTTGAAAAAGTGAAAAATACGTGTAGAGTATTTTTTGATAAGTTAACTGACGGACTAATTAAAACTCTTGCTTTTTGACCCAGGCAACATCCCTAGTATATTTTTATTACTACCTACAACGGAGAAGTTCTTGGCCAGCATCTCACCTGATGGAGACAATCATACCAAAGTTGGAATCGAGCTGCTTCTTACTTTATGGTATTTTCAAATACGACGTTTTGGGCAGGGCTGGCTGAACACAGAAAATTGGATAACAGAAAGTTGGTACAAAGATGTTAAATGCCAACATTTACGAGTGATGTCCTGCTTAAAACTTTTTATTTAAAAGAGTCCAAGATGGAGATCTGCAACTAGCCAGTCAGAAAAGTGCTGTTTCTGGCACCTTTTTAGAACCATAGCTTTTTTAAATGATCAGAACATGCTAAGACGGCGGTCTCCAAATCCTTGTCAGGTGAGAATATTGACATAATAAGATATAATAATAATAATAATAATAATAATAAAAACGTTTATTGCTTTTTAAACATAAAAGGAATTACAAGAAACAAAATTACATTATAAGCTTAAAATAACTTATGCTAAAAGAAAAAGCAAATGGAGGTGGCTCAGCATGTGCCGCCAAGGACTACCTGCCCTAGACAGCGCTGGTTTTCAGCTACCACCATTTCTCTTAAGGTGCTGGTCGAGAAAATGGTCACGATATGAGTCAATGGAAATGATATGGCATGTTGCGTTTGATTACACGAGTTTAAGGCTGCGTTTCCACCAGAGATGTGCAAGGATGCGTAGCGTGGGATGTGTTTGTAAAGAACCAATAAATCGTTTCATTTACATTTATATCCTCGCACATCTCTGGTGGAAACGCAGCCTTAGAAGTAGTTCCATGAACTTGAAAATGCAAAATTCGACCACCGCCACCACCGCTACTTGCTACGCGAACCGGAAGCCATTTTGTCAATGTCACAATGCCGAGCGGTCGTTGACACAATCATTGTCATGAAAATTTTCTCGAACGAATTCTGTTTTAATGACAGGATTAATTTGCGAAGGCTCTGGAGAGTTCTTCCGTGAAGTATCTGTTTCTCAAAAAGCTTTCAACAATAATTTCCTTTTGAATAAATTACAAAGTTCCAAATTATTCCCTAGCTAGCTCCTTTAGTCTAGTGGTAAGTTCGATTCCCAGTGGGGGCAGATTTTTATGTTCGGTTTGGTTAGTGGCAGGGCTTGTTCTAAGTCCGCTTGGCTAGCTTCACCATCCATCTTACCTAAGTCTGTCGCCATAACAACAATGTTAACAGCATTGTTGTGTTCCGGCAGTTAGAGGTAAGATAGCCAGTTCCTCCGTGGTTGAGGATTCCGGTGAAGCTCGCTTCTACATTCGGCCTGATCATCACTTACCATCAGGTGAGATATAGGCCAAGAGCTTCCTCGTGGATAAAAAAAGACAAATCGTGCTTTGTGACTTCTTGGGGGAGTCTTGCATTGAACTGCCATTGACTGAAAAGATGAACCAGTCTTTTAACCACAACAGGGAAACTCTAAGCTTGAATGAATCTCACCTGATGGAAAATTGGAAATATTGGCCTAGTCGAGCATTGTAAAGGAAGGAAAAATAAAATGTTTTATAGGCGAAAACTCGGCTTCTTTTCCACTTTAAATATATTATAGCGGGATAAGATCTACTACGAAAATAGGAATCGTTTATACGATAAACTTTATCGCGAAGGTAAGACCTTCACCCCTAACTGTAATTGGGCGCAAAGTTCAAAGTTTAACCGGTCGCGGTATCACCGTGTCAATTTGAACCTTGTGGCCTTATCTTTAGGTCTAAAAACATGGAAAAAGTTTGCTTGAACTCAAAATTGATTAAATCACTTATATCACTTTAATTTTTTCTGAAATATACAGACTGAAATTGGACGAAAATCACAAAAAGCATCAAAACGCGCAAATTATTTCTTGGATGAACTTTTTTCCAATTATTTTGATTTGAATGGTTTCAAATTAGTTTGGTAACTAAACACGGGTCTCAACGCTAGCATAGCAGCCGAAAGGTCAAGCCGAGTACATATTTTTATGTACTAGCTTTTGCCCGCGGCTTCACCCGCGTGAAATTTAGTTTGTCACAGATTGACATAAATTATAGCCTATATGTTATTCTGGGTTATAAACAAAATACATCAAAATCCGTTCAGTAGTTTTTGCGTGCAAGAGTAACAAACATCCAGACATACATACAAACTTTCGCATTTATAATATTAGTAGGATCTCGTATAAAAAATGTCGCGTTGAGTTGAGAGTGAGACCCGTGTTTCTCTATTTTAACCAATATCATTTTAAAATCCCACCTATTTAACTGATTTTTACCCGACTGTCACAGAAAGAGGGTTGTTAAAATAAAATAACATTTAAATTGGACCATAAGCAGCTGCTTATGCAATTGGTATAGCTATATCCAATTATTATTTTCCAAATCAATAAGTAAATAACAGAGTTCTAAAGAAACAAACAAGAAAATACAACCTGAACCTCCATCTTTTTTTTTAGTTGCCCAATAAAACTTTTTCACATCCAAAGAAAAAGTCCGCATTAACTTTTACAACTTTCCAAAACCTCCCCAAGGAATATTAAAGAACTTTTACTTAATATTAATCTTAAGATACGCATCTGTAAAGCAATTTGGTAAAGTATCCGAGGCCCGGCAATTTCCTAAATTATTTCCCTGTGTATGTACTAGCTAATAACCGCGACTTCGTCTGGTTATACACGCTAGTAAAATACACATATTTTCTAACTTCTGAATTATTAATTTATTTTCCATTTCTCGTATTAGGTATTATTCTGTACTCATTAAGTTCCTAGACCTATCTCATATTATAAACTCTACGAACGAATGGACTTGAAATACTTTAATTACTTCACTTGAGCAGACATTTCCTATTTACTTAAAGAAAATAATTGCGAAAGAAAAACCGTGACTCATTTCTCATAAGTAATGCACACTCAATACTCAGTCATTATTATACTACGGTATTAATGGTAGAGTCGTGGCCTTCATCACCGTAGTCATGACATGCAGATTGTAGAGTGAGGTCCCATTGTAATGGGCGTTATATGTTTTTATGTCGCTACCAAATAATTTGTGCATAAAACCAAAGGATCATCCCTTCTATTTCATCGAAAGTTTTCGCCAAAACATCAGCTCAACCTTTAACCTTAACTATATTTCCATCCAACCTTCTTAAGATATGTTACCGCAATTTGCAGGTTATCAAATTCACGGGCCATTGGGCGCGGCCGCGAGCGTTAAATTGGTTGAATTCGACCCGCTCACCGTAAAACGTGTCGTATCATCCCATCCCGCAACGTCATTTCCGATTAAAGGTATATCCACACTGCTGCATTTGAGTTTAAGGTTATGCGCGCACTACATGTGACTTTTTGTCACCGTGACATATTGATGACCTTCTCTTTAGAGGATAAGACATACTGTCACGGTGACGAAGTCACCCGTACGCGCGCGTTAAATCTCATAAAACCAAGGACTGGAAGTCCCTGCTGACGTCAATGTTCCCGAATATTTGAAGATTCGAAAAAACTTCTAGATTATTTTAAATCCGTTCAATATTAAGGCATGAGTTAACAGATATTAGGTACAGGTCAAAAGAGAGATGCAAATTATGGCGCGACAGATCTCCCCTGCCCATTGGCAGTGGTAAGGACAATCTGGTCAGGTGAGGATTCTTGGATGGCTCAAACATGGAGTGCAGGTGCGATTTTGTTCCCCAGTCGATGAAGCACATGTCGTGCCCTGAGTGCCCGAGTAATTGCACGCAGGAGGATTTAATGAATGCTGCTGACAACGCCACTCTTGTAGCGGAGTTCTGGGCTGACACTGTGTAGGTTTGTTGTCGACACGATAAGAAGAAGATTAACAAAGACCACTTACCCTGCAGGATAAGCCACCACCTCGGTGTTGGGGTCGCAGTCGAGCGCCGCATTGCTGCCGACTGTCAGCCCCAACACGCTCTCCAACTTGATCTGTGGACAAGGAAACAGCACATTTAGTGAAGGTAGTCAGAGAACTGGACTCGCTTAGGTTCTATTTTTTGGATAGCCATGACGCCACATGAACAAGAGCCTAGGGAACAAGGGGAAATGAGTACTAACTACTGACCAGCTCTTGGGGGCGCGGCGACGCACCGCAACGTCAACGCTCGTGTGGCATCTCTCTAAAGGTTTAATGCCCGTTTTCACCATCAATCCCTAATTTTTAAGTGACCCCTATGAATACCAAATTCCTGAATATGTGTTACCATGCTGTTGACATTTATTTCAAAAATATGGCCGAGTTGCTTGGAATACTGTATAGATAGTATTACCGTGCTTTTGACGTTTGTTAAAGTAAGGTGGTGCAAACCAGGCTACGTCGATTAGATTGACGAAAAAGTAACTCCGAATTTTATTGATACACAAAATCTCATATTGCTGCGTTTTGATAGCTAGTCAAAACTATGTCAATTGCCTTTTAGTATTAACTACCAAATTGCAGTATTTTTTATGCTTAAAGAGGCAGCTATTTGCTCGCAATCGCACCTGGTGTTAAGTGAGATGCAGTCTAGGATAGTACATATCTGCCCTGTAGTGCCTATTCACTCACGCCTTGAAAAGGCCCGGATTATAGTTTTCGGGAAAGACATCAGCAGGAAGCGAATCCCAGTGATATACAAGAATACAAGTGAACCCTAAAATAAACGTTCCACATTACGAACTTCAGCCTTCAACTCACACGTCATAGGAACCAGTTTCCCCCGCAAGGTCGCTCCAAGATGGCGGCCGTCCTTGCGTCCGCGCAAGGATGCGTACAGTTACCGGACTGGTTGTGGTGACCTTGGTGTGGGATAGCCGTTTTTACTTTTTTTAGCCTTCCGTGAGGTTACATGTAAACTGGCTTTGACCCCGCGGAATTTTGACGTTTTCAGATTGGCAGAAAGTTAACCACTTGATAAAATTATTATAGCTTATTAATATTTTAAACCGCTTTATGATGTGTTTTAGACAAAAATTATACGGTCTGATAGTTGTCATTTATCACTAGACTCAAAATACTAAAATTAATCAAAATCGAGTGTACCTAACAGACAAGATAATAACATTTCGCATTAACTGTGCTGTCTTATCTACTTGTAGTAGATCCTTTCCTCCTTTAACTTTTAAAATATAGTCTGTTCTTTAATACAAAAATGTTTATATTCATCACTAGCTGACCCGGCGAACTTCGTACCGCCTTAGCGTAGAGATTTTCTTAATATTTTTTTCCGTAAGAACCATCCTTGGACTTCCACAAACATTTAAAAAAAAGAATTATCGAAATCGGTTCAGCCGTTCACACGTGATGCCGTGACAACGCGAAACGGGTTTCATTTTTATATATATAGATTAATCACCATCATCACTGCTCTTTTATTTCACAATCGTTTGCAATGACATCTCGCATCAACAATATTAGACGTGAAACCAGGGTACGCGCGGCCATCTTTGATAGATCCAGATGTGACATCTGTCATTCCAAGTGACAGTTTTCGGCAGCGGACAATGGCCATCAAATAGCTGGTAGTAACTTTCAGTATTTTCATTATAAATTAGTTTGAACGCTAAATTTTTAATAGGCATTCGATTCATATTGAGGTAGACAATAGGTTCTAAATTGTTGATTTTTAACAAATGATACACCGTTCTTTATTTGTAGTAAATAAGAGAGTCCCTAATTTTTAAGTGACACCTATGGTAACATAACAGGAATTTTCTTTTCATAGGGGTCACTTAAAAATTAAGGATTGATGGTGATAACGGGCATAAATGACCTGACTAAATGGTTGGGTTTTTTATTGGCGGTCAAGCTGTAAATCCTGGCTACACAGGAGTTGCAGCGGTGGGAACGAGAGGTGGGTATAGTCCCGTAAATGATGAAATGATGATACACCTTGCTTTCTGCTTAGGTCCATTGTATGTATGGAACTAGAGATATGAATTTAATTTTCTGATTGTCAGTGACGTAGTTCAAACATGTCAAGTAACTGCCCACTTATTTTATTTTGTTTTCTTCTAGAACTAAACAAATAAACCCCATATTTGGAGAAGTCTTTATCTAGTCAAGGCTTCAGTATATTTGTATAGGAACTAGTCCAACCTTGTCTGCTATATCTAGTGTGCACACGCTGTTTGCCTACAGATTATGGAGGTGCGCAAGAGTTGCGTAAAAAAGGTTTTTCTACATGGCGTTTAAAGGTCAGGTTTTACGGATATAGGAAGGTAAACAGTTGGATAGTTTAACTTACAGTTATCTTTTTACCTTTTCACCATCTAACTTTGACCGTAACTACCGTAACTATAACGATAACCGGTTTGTATGGAGTTTGACAGATTTTTGACGTTTGTTAAAGTATGAGTTAAAGATGGTGCAACGTGCAACCCAGCCTTAGTGCCTCTTTTACGTTCTCTGAGTAAAGTCCTTAGTAGTTACTTCCTGATTAACACAATTTGGCATGTAAAAGAAAGAATTTTAGCGTCAAAGGCTTGTCAGTGTCATGGTTTCCTTGCTACCCGTGACTTTAAGCAATGAGTAGCCTACTTGACACTCTACTAGAGATGGTGAACGAGGCCCTAAATTTTATACAAGCCTGCTCAGGGCTCCACTCTGTATTGTGAGAAGTTTGAACATAAACTGAAAATTGATTCATTCCTGCGATTGACTTGAGTATTCATCATAGGTTTTTGAGTCTGCAAGGAAGTTTACGTAGTTTCGGCACAGAATAAGTAATAGTACAGGTACAGAAGGATTACTCCGCAAGACGATTTAAATAAATGCGAGTCTTGCTACGACGCGATACAGTGGAATTCAGCTCGAACAGCACTACGTACCTACAATTTTATTCACCTACAAGTTTTGTCTCTTTCTATCGCGTGCCTCTGAACTCTTCTTACGCTGTTAGGGTTGCTGTCTAGTGAAAAAATAATTAATTTACTTATTTGTAATGAGGTACGTATGTAGGTAAGTATGCATTCATTATGGTAAACCTTGGGAGAGGCCTTTGTCCAGCAGTGGACGTCATTTGGCTGAAACGAACGAACGCATTCTGAGCAGTAGTCATGGTAGGTTAGGTTGCCAACATACCTTTCAGCATCTTTGGGAAGCGAAAAAAAAGACAAATCCGGTAATTACTTTTCGAATTTAAACACCCGAACGCCGCACAATATTTCTTTCTCTTTATGTCCATTTTTAAATAATACTTCGATCATAGAATTATAATCATACTACAACGCACGCCAGCCGTCCTGACGAGCGCGCGCGTGACACTCGACTGATATAATACCCGCCGGCGGGGCGCTTCGCTGTAGGTAATTATCGGATGTACCGCGCGGAGTGAGCCAGGCCTGGTTTCGGGTCTGTTGTTCAGCGACACTGACACAGTCCTTAGTTCATAAGGCACCGATATAATATTGGTGTTTAAAATACTAAAATACGTGTTTTAGGCCTTTACACAGAAATGGGGTTGTCATCATATTTTAAGAGCAGATGGTACAAAGGGCGTGCAATTTTCATTATCATTTGCATCTCTAAATACAGGGTGGCCAGGGAGTTGACGTTCAAAGCTAAAATTTAGATTCCTTACATCAAGGTGTATCTAACTAAATCACCCCCATGTATGTTGTACGATTTTGCTTAGTTTAGGAGATTGAGTTAATTTTGTGATTTATCCTTAACTGTCACCTATGGTTCGTTTTAAATTTTTTTCTCACTCTACTAACCTAAACTAAGCAAAATCATAGAACATACATAGGGGTGATTTAGATACACCTTTATGTAAGGAATTTAAATTTTGGCTTTGAATGTCAATTCCCTGGCCACCCTGTATATTGAGAGGCAGATGAGGAGAGAAGAGAAACTAGTAAACAAATAATGTTGGGTTGGGAGTCTGTTAAAGAACTTGTAGACGATATTATCACTTAATAACGCGCTAATAAAAATGCAATTCACCGTATTATGCAGGTGGAATGAACCAAATTATGCAGCTTGCATAACTGGCAAATAAAACCCAATTTATATTAAACAGTTTAAAAACTCATTTGCTGATAAAGTATCGTGGTCCAGCTGAAGCGAAGATAAAAATATACGACGATATGTTTAAGAAGTTCAGGAATAGATAAGTCAGTATTATTCAGAAATATAATGTAGATCCGGCATTTTATCTGAGGAATGACGAAGATTTAAGCGCTATAAACACTGCAACTTTTTGTAGCGACAAAAACGCAGTACAGTCCAGTTAAATAATTCTTCTAGTCGCATAAAGTCTACTGTAGCAGCGACGCTACAACCGCGATCTATTAATTATACAACAAAGTAGATATTTATCTTTAATATCACATTGACATCGTGAACTCTTCGTCATTTATTTACTATTTTTCTTATATGGGACCATTCCCGACTCTCGTTCCCACCGTGCAACTCCTATGTAGCCAGGATCTATGTACAACTTGACCGCCAATAAAACCCAACCAGTGAAGGTCAAGTTTGTCCCGGGAGAAAGTTAAACTGTCATTGGACCCGCAACGAAATTAATCAGAAGAACATAGAGGAGTTCGCAGTTAAGGTTTGACTTCCCTCCACTCCAGTGCAAGGCGCATGACAGGTATTTTTCTTATACCATAATTATAATAGCTCCTACTGTCGTTCCGACCTTAACCACCGTTAAGACGCCGTCTATTCAGTTTAATCTAAATAATTACTTCATACCGGACTTTCGAATACTATAAAAATTAATAATCGAGAGATAGACTCTCGCTTTCACTCGATCGGAGCACAATTGGAGCGCTGGAAATCGATTCGGACGATTACGATCGTGAATAGTTTATGCGATATCTCGATTCTCGGTATTCATCTGGCTGTGTGTGTCCGTAATTGAAGTGGGAAGCAATTAAAAGTAATATGGAACTGTCAAATATTGTCAGACGAACGCCACTGTCTTTTTTTTAACCGACTT